CTTACTCCCTCCACTGTTGATGGCCTATAGAATAGCAGAGCATGAAGCCACTGGATACACTCCAACAAAGTTGATGTTTGGTCGGGAACTTTAGTTTCCAGTGGACCTGATAACAGGATGCCCACATTACGTGAGAGTGTCATTTGAAAGGATGGATGATGTTCATCATCAAGTGCATTCACACTTGAAAACATCTGCTGATTCCAGGAAGCTATATTATGATAAGAGACAAGGTGTGGTTGTATAATCCCAGGTAGACCAAAGGGAAGTCTCCTAAGTTGTCTTCTCCATGGGAAGGCCCATATGACACAGTGAATCATCTCTCAGACGTGATTTTCCAAATAAAATATGGTCAGCGAGGTAAACCAAAGGTGGTGCATGCCAACAGGCTTTGGCATTATCATGGTCCAGTTGGAACGAAGTGAACAATGGAACAAATGATGCTGCTGAAGACGTGTCACCTGAAAAAGCCACTGTAAAAGAAGAAACTCTACCTGGTTTTGAGAAGGAAAACAGTGAAGCCGTTAATGAAGTTACTACCACTGATGTGACTGCTACTGATAATAGGAAATTCCTGGTGGAGCAGATGAATCCCACGTGAAGCAGAAGCCAACGAGACGGAGACCAGTACGGAAGAAGAAACGTCCTCAAAAATTAAGAGGCTTTGTTGTATTTTAATTTTGTGATTGTAAATTCTGTACATTTAACCAAGCTATTGTTAATTATCTATTGGTTTAATGTAAGTGGCTATTGTTCGGGATGAACAATACTAAGGAAGGGGCAGTGTTACAACAGCAGAAGTCACCCAGTGCTGGGAGCATGCACGCTGGAGTTTCTCGAAGGATCATGAATTATCACGGAACCCAACGAATGTCCGAGTGTTTGCCAGATGCTTTCTTTTTTAGTATATAAGCCTGGCAAATAAAGCCAGCGAGAGATAGATCAAAGAGATAGATTGAAGAATTAGATAATTGAGTCAAGGAAACAGTAGGCATCGTAAGTAAAGTGTGTGAATCACTGTGATTTATAGCATGTGTTATAAAGGTTGTTAAGTTTAAAGTGACTGTGGAAATTCTGTGTATTACCAAAAGTTGCATCGAGAAAGAATAAACTTGTTTAGTCAAGAAAGGACTGGTATCGCTGAAGTTACTCGGAAATAATTTCTACCGGAAATTGACAAACAAGTAGATATGTAACAGTATTATAGGACTCTGTATTAACTTGATGATGTTTGTGTAAATGTAATGTTGAACTTTTGCAACCAAAGTTAATTTCTGAGTGACAATTTCTCCAAAACATGTTAATTATTGTCTAGAACTCTAATGGTACAACTATTTTGAGAAAATTTGGGGAAAGAAAAACACAGATAACGGAGGCGTGGATAATCGAGGCACTAGTGTAGCCCCATTTCCTGGTAGTGAAGTTATGTCAGGAACACCTGGCTCCTGAGATTTTTGGGCTGGCTACTACATCTGAAAATTGGTCATGGCCTGCTCTATCATGTCATTCCCTTAGTCCCACAACACTGGTATGAATTTTCTGTATAATAGTTCCTCTAAATTGTCATTCTCTTAATCAAATATACAACAATGACAGTCACTACTAACCTAGTCTACCACAACATAAGCCTTCATATTATGGTAGGTTCACTATAATGAGGAATTTGGAATGATAATTTTGCATTAGTGGTCTCATCTCTTTGATGCAAAGTTTTATTGTTTCGACTTTAAGTAGTTATGAAATAAAGTTAATGTCTACTGTATAAGTTAGTACATTAAAATTATGAAAATTTAGTCAATTTTCTAATTATTTTTTCTTGCAGATTGTTTTTTTCCTTGCTGGATTGCTTGAATATTCAAACAAACCTTTAAAAAGTTAGTGTGTGTGTGTGTAAAAGAAAATAAAAACAACTTTGTGATAAAATCATAGAAGTAGTTATTATTATTTATTTCCAGAAAACCAAGAGATTTTAGAGTTAGAACCTGACCATTTAGGGAATTGTTTACTACATGCTGATACTCTTTTTGAGAAAGGTAAGTAGAAGGAAAGCAACTACAAAGGACATAATATTATTTACACAAAAGCTTGGGTTTATGAGTAGTTTACACTAACTGTAAAGTTTCGTAAATGAAACAGTGAAGTATATCATGTTTTATGTACGGGTGAGGGACCGTAAAAAAATACAAATGTAGATGATGTAAACATCCTTTGTATGGTGAGTTACAATATCACATACATGGTCTAACATTTGGTGCCTTCTACACTGTTTTTCATTATGTCAGATAATTTTCCTGATTATTTAACCATGATAAGTTAGTATAGGTTTTGCCCTGTCATAGCTAGAATATAGAAAACGTAGATGTTAAAACCTGGCATGACGTTATTTAATAATAATAGCTTTGCCTTGCGGTAGCTAGAGTATAGGAAACTTTAATGTTAATTTTGTCTCCACAGAGAGAGATACTGTTTCCAATATGATATCTTACCTCCTCTCACAGAAGAGCTTTTATGACTTGTGCTGCCCTCTATATGCACACATTTTTGCTCGCCATAACCCTTTATACCCCACCTACCCTTACTTGTTTCACGTGAGTAAGTTGTGTGATAGAATGCAAATGTGCATGTAATAACACTCCACGGCTTTAGTGCTCCCAGCAGCATCAGTGACTGGTGGATACAGGTATGGTGGGGGCCTGGCTTTTGCGCTTTGCTACTGTTTGGGAGTCTTTCACCACAGACAATTGGGTTCTGTGGGTTCTCTCCAAAGGGCTCATTCTTTGTTTCAGTTCCCCCTCATCCCATATCCTTCCTCTTTCTCTGGATCCTATTTTGAGCTGAAGCATTTCTAGATCTTCTTCACAAGGGTGCTGTAGAGCATGGAGGTCCTTCTCGGCCAGGTTTCTGTTCCAATTTGTTCATCTCTGAGGCTGCATGGATAGGTTGGTTGGTCAAGGTGGAGAAGTCCTTCATCTTCTCCCACTCAGTAACTTGTTCATCTCAGGGTATTTTTCAATTCCCGTCTCCCCTTTGCCTGTGATCTATAGAGCTTCTGGTTTGGACCATTTCCTTCTCTCCTTCTCCAACTGCATGAGAGGTTCTATCTCTTTTAGGGACGTGGGCCTCTTTGGAGGCCCTCATTCCTCTTGCTAGAGCCCACACACGACCTCTTCAGTGGGCTTTACAAGATCAGTGAAACCTCATTTGGAATCTGTTGAATACCCTATCCATCTCAGTTCTTCCCTTCATGTGTATTTCACCTGTTGGTTGAACAGAGACAACACTACAGTGGGTGTTCCTCTTCCTCATCCAGATGCTTCTCTTTGGGTTGTGGTGCATACCTAGATACACAGAATATTTCGGGCTGTTGGTCTATCAATGAGTCATCTTTGCATAACAATCTTTTGGAAGTGCTCCCTGTCCATTGGACTTTGGTCCACTCCCTTCCATCTCTCTCCAGAACTGGTTGGTTATGATCCATTCCAACAACTCAACAGTTGTTTTGTACATCACTCAGAAAGGTGACATTCTGTTAAGGTCTCTTTGTTTCCACACATTGGACTTACTGTTTTGGGCCCACAGTCATTACATTCAGTTGTTGGTGATCAACCCACATGTGTTTGGCTGGCTGTGTTCTCAATGGGTTAGTCTAAAACTGGATGCATTTGCCACCCACGTGAATTCAATGTTTCTTAGGTTTCGGTTCCCAATTTCACATCCTTTGGCTGTAGCTGTTGATGCCCTTGGTGAGGATAAGAGGGCTGTTACCTCTATGCCTATCCACTCATTTGCTTCTTCCTTGTATCTTCTCAGTCATACAAGCCACTCCGTGTCACGTTCTCTTGGTGGCACCACTTTGGCCATTGCAGCCGTGGTTTCCAGTTCTGTGCCTGCTCCTACTGACACTTTCTCTTCTTCTCTTCTCACCACCCTCTTCTGACAACCCTTATCAAACTCGCTACATCATTCCCTTTCAACACTGTTTTCATGTGTCGTTTTTGTCCAGTCCCTTGCAAGACAGACCAGAATTTTCCCACAAGTTACATCCCTGATTTTCCATTCCATATGCCCTTCCTTTATGTCAGTTTACCAACGTAAGTTGTATGTCTACTGCTGTAGGTCTTCTTGTCATGGTTTTCCTCCATCCCATCCTATGCTACCACACTTAACTGCCTTCCTTACCTGACTTTTCGACAAGGGGCTTTTATTATCCACCATTATTGGTTATTGTTTTCACCTCATCAGTTCTTACTCTATTGTTTTATTCTTTTTACCGTCTACCACATACTGCTGTCCTCCCTGATTGGAATCTCAATATCATCCTCCATGTCCTCACACTTCCTCCCTTCGAGTCCATGTCATCCTGTTCCTTATATCATCTCTTCTTAAAGACCTGTTTCATTCTCCTATTGGTGTGTGGATGTTGTGACATTTAGATTTATTTGCTTTTGATGTATCTCACATATTATGTCACAGGACCTGTATCATCTTCTACCCGCATCAGTCTTTTCTACTCAAAACAACAGCATTATGTGCAGGTGATTTTATCTTCACTCCCATTTCCATTCCTTCCAGTTCTCACCTTTATCATCATTCCAGTCTGGATCACCCCCTTCTGCACTGTCATGTGGCTTGCACTGCTCCCTTCTGTGGTTCCCATTCCCACTTGTTTATTCATACGAACCTTTCCATTTCCCCTGATATATCTCCTATCACCCTTATGAGTTGAATTCGCCAGCTTATTCTTTCCTGTCTCCTGATTATTGTCATCTATTCCAAGTCTCCTCCCATCAAATCCATCACCTGACAATGTCCCTGGCTGCCTGATTCTGTCATCCATTAGAGGATACAGTTTGTACTGGCATGTGGATTACTTCCCAAATTTTTTATTCACATTACCTACATTCTACCCCCCCCCCCCATTACCGTCTTGAGCTCCGCGGTTTCTCTTTTAGTGGGTAGGTGCTCTCTTTATACTTTACCTCTTTACAGGGGCCTTTTTTGCACGTATAGATCCCTGTTAGTGGTGAGTGTTGCATGAACAGGTATGCTTGTTTTTACATCCACACTGTATGTCCATTCAGGTCAATAACACCCACTTTTGAGATTGGAGGCTCTGCAAGACTGCTTGTAGATTTTCCTTGTAGTGTTTTGTGTCATAAATATGTTCACCCCAGTAAATGCATGGACTAACAGTAGTAAAGCACGAGGGAATTGCTGCCCGTCCTTACCACTCCTTTTTGGCTATATCAGGAAAGGCCTGTGTCTCAAAGTAAGGTTTTGCAGTCACCCATTACACAGTCTTCAGTGCTGGGTTTCTTTAGACTCTACAATGTATTTCCCCCTTTCTTCCAGTGGAGTACATGAGTCCTTACTACTTACCAGCTCCTAGCCTCTTGGGTGGTGGACCATGGAGGCTTTCTCTTGAATGTACTTTTCTAGATACTGCCTGGTTATGGACACTGGACATTTTCTGCCACAATGCACTTCACCCCTTTGGTTGGGCACCCTTCTTTCTACTGTCATCCAGATGTCAGTTTCTGGGGGTATTGATGTTGGTTGGAGCTGGACCAACCACATAAGTCCTAACATGTGAATGGCCTATGTTCCTCCTATTTCAGACTAGAGGATTCATTCCAAATATCTGTTTCTGGACTGGAGTTGAACTGCCACATTGCTGTTAGCCTTCCTACTGTTGTCTGGATGTCGGTTCTTCAGTGTAGGAAAATATTAACTTTCTGTTATTCTTTTTTTCTTCTTCCAAACATTTTTCAATTGACTGCCATTCACCTGAAACTTAGTAGAGTTATATCTTGATCCAATGTGCTCAGGTACCTTTTTCATTCTTATATTTGGACCTATTTAAGGATTTTATGGAGTCAAAGGTCAAACAACCAAAAAGTGTATATTTGAAGCTCATGTACAACCATATTTAGAGTAATCAGTATAAAAATTGGAACAAATAAAAATTTTCATGCACTCAACACATTGGAATGCAAAAACTTGAATTTGACCATTTTGAGTCTTTATAAAGGGGCCAGAACTCTCCAAAAAGCATAATTTTGAGTGTTTGTTCGATTACTCGACAATATTTTGACCAATTTACATGAGATTTAGTACAAAGATACTTTTATACAGGTCCCACACGTTGACAAACAAAAATGGTGGACTTTCCCATTTTTGGCAATTATAAGGGTGCTATGATACCACAAAAAGAATAATTTTAGAGTTTTTTGACAATTACTCCATTGTATCTGGGCCAGTTTACATGGGATTTTAGAGGTTTGGGTCAATTACTTAGCCTTGTTTCTAATAACTGACATGGTATTTGGTACAAAGATACCTTCATGCAGGTCCCAAGCAGTGACATAGGCAACTTTTGATTTTTTGTGTTTTTCACGATTTTTCGGGTGTCAAAATTAGCAATGTTGGGATAGTGTGGTAGAAGTGTGTTGCAATTGTACGCGGATGTTGGCCTCTTTAATTCAAGGATGACATTGGAATTATTTAATAACCATAGTTTTGTCATATCATAAGTATAATATAGAAAACTTTCATATTAACTCATGGATAACATTGACATTATTTAATAACAATAGTTTCAGAAATACTACTCGCTTCTCTGCACCACAAAGAGCTATTACCTCCCATGCACTGTATTATAATTTCTTGTGCATGCCATAAGACTTTAACAAAGCTCCCACCTCTACATATGTCAATGTATATTGTGTCAGCCTATGAAGTAATCATCATTAGACTACAGTTATTCACCAATAACAGGATGAGACATCATCCATGGGCAGTAAACTGCAGGAGCAGTAATGTTAGGAAAAAATGCTCATTCCTAACAATGCAAAAGAAACACTTCAGAAGTAAGGAGAAAAAGTGGGATGTTCTGTAGAGAGGCAATCCTTAATTTTCAGGATCGGAATACTCATGAGCCCTAGCACATGATCACAAGCTCATTTTTTCTTTGGCAATGCTTGTCTTCAGACGTATTTTTCATGAGATTTAACAGAATGTTTTTGTTTACTGT